TTAAATGCTCCAGCCTTTTCTTCTCTCCTCCATGCAACACCTTGGGATGTGAGAAAGTGATGGCAGCTCTTTTCCCTCGGAGCTCGAAGTAATTGTAGAAGGGCTGATGAATTTCTTGAAGAAACACTTGCCACACACTGAGGAAACCATCTCCTAGCAGGATTTTACAAACCAAAGTAAACAAAGCACCCCAGGGGCGATTTCCTCCTTTTGCGCAGCTTACTTCTCAATTTACCTCAGAAGTGATCACAAACACACACAAGAATTACAACAGAAATCATACTTGGGCTGGGGAAGATATTCCGGAGGAAAAGAAGCTGAGAAATTGAAAGTGTTCAAAGGAAGGGACGGTCATTAAAATACCTGCCAGGCGCGCTGCCGTTCCCCAAGCCAACCTTTCCTTCTTCCCCGTGAACTCAGAAATCTCTTCAGCATCTCTTTAAACATACATATCCCTGGGAGGGGAAAAAAAAAAAAAAGAAAGAAAGAGAAAGAAAGAAAGAAACCCCCCACACACCTCAGGTCCATCTTACCAACGCCTTTAAAAAAACCTCATCCTCCCGAAAAGGGTGGGGTGGGAAATAAAGTTACTTGGCTAATTTCACTGTTTGCTCGATCGAAGAGAGTTTAGTGTGTAAATGGATTTATTTATTCCTGAGTTTTCCCATTCCTCAGCTGGGCTTTCAGAGAAAATTGGAGAGAGGTGTCTGAGACCATGCGAATAAAAAATCAGCGCTTACATTTAAAGCGAATAATCAGACGGGATCAGACCCTGATAAAATGGGGGCGGGGGGCACCAAATGCCCAATACTGCTTCTAATTTGCGTTTTTCCTTTGGGCTCCAGACCGTTAAGGAAGGCTCACACACGTACTTATTGCTCCTTTTGTCTCCTTCTTTCTAGCAGGACGCAAACCCCCGCGCGTGTGTGCGCGGTTCGGGGGGCTGTTGCTCCCTTTGGGAGGGTTTCGGCATTCACAGGTGTGCTTTGGCTCGGCTCTGTCTCCCTGTCCCCTGCCTCTCAATTCTCCTGAAGGGTTTAATCTAGGTGCGAGGGTAG